GCAGATATTTCTATATGTATAGAAGTATGTAATATTTAGTTTTAATCTTTACCCCTTCGATTTCACAAACAATGCAATACATCAGAAATAATACATATGACTTTGAAGACACATTGATGTTTTTCAAATATTATTCACTATCACGCGTCCAAAGGGTATAAACGAATTGATTACACTATAAATCGTAGTTATCAGAATCGAACTAGACATTGAATCGGCAGAGGGACCGGGTAAATGGTTTAGTGGTTCAACTGATTGGACTGGTCGAATAATAATAAAATATAAAATATAATAATTTAGCTAAAAAGATATAAAACATGTACCTAATACATATAATTTATCATAAATTAATTAAGTATAAAAAAATACCTCTGTTAAAAATGAAAAATACTGTTAAGAAAAAATTTTGTTCTTAACATCAGTTGACAAAAATACTAAAAAAAAAACAATTAACTTAACCAAGTAACCAATAGCCTATTATGATACAGTGAGGAGAGGGGAGAGGGGAGAGGGAGAGAGAAAGAAAACCTCCACTCAGTTAAAGCACAAAAGAGGAGCGAAAAAGCTTAAAAGAGGAGCGAAAAAGCTTGAAGGACCGAAACTGTGAAGCCTAAAGGACCGCTGACCGAAGCTGTGACCTGTGAAGCTTGAGCAATGAGAGATCCAGTGGAGAAGGAGTTGCTCGATCAACCCTGAGTGGAGAAGACGATGGAGTGAAGCTTGATCTGTGAAGCTGTGGCCTGTGAAGCTTGGTCTGGTCTGAATCGTATAGAGTCTGATCTAGTCCACCAATGCTTGAGTGGAGAAGACGATGGAGTGAAGCTTGATGTGTGAAGCTTGGTCTATGAAACTGTGACTTGTGAAGCTTGGTCTGGTCTGAATCGTATACAGTCCGGTCTAGTCCACTAACGCTTGAGCGGAGAAAATGATGGAGATGACTGAAATTAGAGAAAAAATAGGGATTTGGGGGGGTTTTTATGAAAAAGGCAGCAGAACCGTTCGGTTAACGATTTTTGTCAAAAATTGGCCGATTTGACACTTTTATTCCAGTTTAACTCTTTAACCGATTCAATTCAAGAATTCAAAAATCGGACCGGCTAACATCCCGGTTCATGGTCGATCTGGTCCGATTTGGATAACACTGTAATAATTTTAGCAACAAACACGTCTAAACAAACAATCTAGTTAAATGTTAGTTTTTATTTCTTTAATTAATCACAATCACGTTTTAGATGTACTATAATGAGATAATAACTGATTGTATGAAAATTAAAAAAAAAAAAATTTATTATCCTCCGTTTGGTAAGAATGATAGAAAGTAGGAATGATACACTTTTTTTCCTTTGTGTTTGGTAAGATGAATGAAAAATAAAAATGATTATTATTTTTTTTTGTGCTGGCTAAAATTAGGGGCGACAATCGAGTCCTGCTGTGTCAAGTTCGAGTCGAGTGATTACAGGTTTGTGTCGAATATTATTTAAACTTAACTCAACTTATTTAACTAATTGTGTCGTTTCGAGTTGATCTGTTTATTTTTGTGTGGTGTTTGTGTTCATATTCATCTTAACCCACATAAATTTTGAATAAAAAATTTAACGTTAATATTCTATTTTTACTTAATTGAATTAATGTTAAACATATTAGTTTTGTGTTACCATACAAGCAAGAAAATAGAGAAAGTATTTATTTTTAAATAAACGGGTTGAAGGTGTCAATTTTGAGTTTAACAGATTGAACTGGATATGAGCCGTTTATATTTCTTATTTGCGTGTTAGGTCATTTTGAAGTTCATGTCGATTTATAATCAAATTCGTGTCATAAAATTCGTCTCGAGTTCGAGTCGTGTTATCGTGTTGAGTCGAAAATTTTCACTTCTAATATATATATATATATTGTATCATTGTATTTTTATATAAAATTAATATATACATAATACATGTATATTAGAGATAACCCGTGCCTAAAGGCATGACGCAACTAAAAAAAAATTAAACATTGAATTTAAACGTGGAATAATCAAACACTGAACTCGAACACGTACTAAACTAAAAGTCTAAACTCGTCCTATATCACGTGTCTGAAGACACTGTATATAGTTCTTAAACAAGAAATAATCAAACAATGAATATAAATATTCATTAAGCTGAAAATTGTTTGATCATTTTTAATGTAACGACTTTAGCGAAATAAAAGGGTCAAAAGTTGTCATCAATCAATACTTTGACCACCTAAATGAAAAAAAAAAATTTACATTAAATCAAGAATACTCTAAATTACACAAATAACCAAACAATAAAATGAAAAAAAAGAACTAAAAGTCACTTATGTTATCTATCCAAAACCATTACCACCTAGCACCACTGTAACAAATGCCCAGAAGATCACAACAAAATTCAACACAATAGATTAAAACCAAAGTAAAACATTAGAATGTTTAAAAGAAAAAGCACAATAGCAACACATTAATAGCTCAATTTCAACTGACACTTCAATTCACAAACATACATCAAATCAAGATATTATAAAAATCTATTTCATACTAATTAACACACAATCTCTAAAATTATAGAAGTAAAATAAATTAACACACATCTTAATCTAAATATCCCTAACATTCGTCAAATTAGACACTATAAACTTATTTCATAATTAAAAAAAATTGAAAAAAATAACATTCAGAACCCCCAAAAAAAAAAACACAGGTAGAGAAATCTTGTTGAAAGAAGTTTTTGAAATGAAAACCTCTCAAGTTGGCCCTACTAAATGATTTCCAGGTTTTACCTGCGCCTTTTAACAAATATGGTATCTGTATGTTGAAGAGGAGTCTTATCAGAAAGAGTAGTGTAGGCACAAAAACGAAGAAATATCAACCACAAATATCAAATCAAGTTTATGTATAAACACTAAACCAAAGCATATCAAATGTAGATCAACCTCCATGCTCTCATTTTTAAACAAAAAAAAAAAAGAGCGCATGCATATAACTTAATTTACTAATCAAATTAAGCTACACAATGGTAATCGACACAATGGTCGACAAATATAATTGACACAATGGTCGCTTTATCCATGAGACGGCACTGCACAAAGGCAATTATTTCTAAACTTCAAAAATCACTTTATAATAGAAATTGACCACAACCCAATAGATAATTCTTACATAAACCCTAATAGCTGATGGATTTAGGAAAAAATAGATGTTGGAAAGAGACTTGATAATTCTCGGTATAAAACTGATGAAAAGCAAAAGGAGGAAGAAAATCAGAAACTCAAATAGAAAAGAAACGTATTTACAGGCATTTTAATGGGTTTGAACTCCTGCAGCAACATTGAGCATCCAAAGAGAGAACATGGCAGGCTCTGATGGCAAAACTACCACCACTTAGCATATAGTGATTACCATATCATATAAAGCAGAACCAATCAAAGTTGATCATCATGAATGGGACTTGCTAAAGTACCAATTAAAAAAATTTAGTAGCATACCTCTAAAAGTTACTATTTTAAATAATGTTTGTGGGTCATTATTTGTTATAGATATGTGTGTGTGTTGGGAGGGGGGGGAGGGTGTAGGTGGTAAGGGGTGTAGGTGGTGGTGATTGGAGCAGTAGACATTTTGACGAACACTTCACGTGCATTACGACAAACCCATGATTGCCACCACCATCCCTTTGTTCCATATCATTTGTGTCTCAGAGAGAGAGAGAGAGAGAGACCCAAATGTAATCGACACAATGGTCATTGCCTGTGAGAGAGAGGTAGATAGTGATGTGTGTGGGTGTGTGGGTGTTGTGTGTTGGGGAGCTGAAGACGAAACCGAAGGGGAAGTGACCATGCCATGGATTTAGGGAAGTGACCGTGCCATGGATTTGGGGAAGTGACCGGCTGTCTCCCTGCCTAACTGTGAGCTAAGGGAGGATGTGAGAGGAGAGAGAAGGGGTCGAGATGAGACTAAAGAGGGAGGAAGTGAGAGAGAGAGGACGTCAAGGAGCAGTTGGGTCTGGGTTATAGGGAGCTGTTTGGTTTGGGTTGCACGGAGCTGTTGGGTTGGGTTGGATGTAATGATGTTGGGGGAAAAAATATGTTGAGTATAAGATTCAAGTTTTTTCCTATTTTTTTATATAGATATAAAAAGATATATAGACAAATAAGATGCATCTTAACATAAATAATTAATTTTTCATCATCCACTTTTCTTTCGATTTTAGAGAGATTGATTTTGATGAGTTGGAAGGAAAGTTAATGCATTCACTTATTCATCCTTCCTATATTATTTCCTTACTAAACATGATATTTTATTTATCCCTTTAACTTTTCATCATTCTAACTTTCCATCATACCAAACGGAACATTAATATTGTTTATTATTTTTAAAGAACCACATTATAGCTATCAAGTTATTACATAATAATATAAATATAAGATATATATTTTTATAGAC